TATTTTGCAATTTGACAATCTTTGCCAAATGTCCAGCCATTGGCTACCAAAAGCAACATTCATGCAGTGAATGGACACAATAATAGATGCATAAAACACTTACATGAAACTGCAGGACTACCATTGTATTTACTCTCTTGAGAACTCATTGTCTGCGGAATACAATGCACACTTCTCAGGTCACAATATCTACAATTCTCAGAGAAGAACAAATGTAAACAAAACACAAGTAAGATTGCTTTACAAGTGTTTATTCCAGTTTGAACATCCGGTTTATGCAAAATATAACTAATTACTATACGTACTCTGTTCCACTCAGAGGGTATTTTACCACTGAACTCTACTGGGTTGCACAAGGCCTTTTATTAACTCTAGAAAACCAGACAGTAGAGGGTCATTGCACCAGCAATGGACATTCTGCCAGATATAGAAAGGAGACACACAGTATTCTGCAACAACGTATCCCTTTAGAGATTTATGGGTCGGTCAACTCCCTGGGGAGAACTGTAATTATGGCCAGCAACGATGGAAACAAGGTTGCGCACCTATGCGCGGCTGTCCCGTAATAATGAGCAGGGCAAGGGAAAGTTTGAGTAGTTCAGACCAGCTGACAACAATATACAACTCTCCCTGGTCATATCATGACAATAAAATCATTTTTGAATTCCATTTCTGATTCATTACGATGATAATCGTATTGCTTATTTAATTTTCCCTTGAATTCCCCAGCAGACCACAATTGTGTGGTTTGTCATTAATACAATCCGTTCTGCTTATTATTAAAACATTTAATATCACATTTAATGTTTAAATTTATTTTCAAAGTACATGTAATTTATGTGTCATTTTTGAACAGTTACGAGACAACTCACATAGCAACAACTCACACAGTGACAACTCCAACAGCAACAACTCACACAGGGACAACTCACATAGTGCAACAACTCACACAGTTCTTTTTTTTACTAATTTTTCTTTTTTGAAATTCAGATTCTGGCAAAATGTATACTTTTCTTGTGTCTAGATTTTCTTTATCCTAAATTAATTGTATGCTTTAATAATAAAAAAAATTTAATTTTTATACTTGTGTTTTCAACCTAGCCAAGGATAATTTTGTCCTAAATTAATTGTGTACATTTATCATGTTCCATATTTTCAATATTTTTTTTCAATCTAATCAAGGATGATTCTGATGCATGCATTAATGCATGTTCTTCCTAGAAATTGAGCCCCAGTCATGTTTATGGCTGACAGCAATTCCCCCCCCCCCAATTGTTGATGTGAATATTGCTTGATTGGACATTGGATTTCCAACGGTTTTAGAGGGGTTCTTTAAAAATGATTGTGAAATGAAATTGAAAAATTCCTGTGAAAATTTGGAAAATTGCTGTGAGCCATGACAATGACTGGGGCTCAATTCCTATAAGGAAGAACATGGATTAATGCATGCATCAGAATTATCCTTGACTAGATTGAAAACAGAAGTATATAAAATATAGAACATGATAAATGTACAAAATTAATTTAGGACAAAATTATCCTTGACTAGGTTGAAAACACATGTATAAAAAAATTTATAAAAATTGTATTATAAATGTATACAATTACTTTAGGATAAAAGAGAATCTAGACACAAGAAAGGTATACATTTTTGCTAGAACCTAAATTTAAAAAAAAAGAAAAATCAGTGAAAAAGAAGAACTGTGTGAGTTGTACTATGTGAGTTGTCCCTGTGTGAGTTGTCCCACTGTGTGAGTTGTTGCTGTTGGAGTTGTCACTGTGTGAGTTGTTGCTGTGCAAGTTGTTGTGTAATCTTTTAGAATGCATCACCTCACACGTTTTTCAGGTGTTACAATAAAACATGCAAATTTTTGTGTAACCAGTGTTCCATTCACAACATGTTACAATTCCTGTTTTTATACTGGAGTGCTGAGCATGACTTTTCATGCATCCAAATTCATGGCCCACGCACCTGTTTTTTTACGCCTTTTGTGACGCGGTTTTGTTTTCCTGGGTCCCTAAGTTGATTTTTTTCAGGTCCCATGAAATTCGACTCAGAGAGGTTCCACTGTACGGTATTTCGAAAAGTCTCAAAACTTATGAACCAACTCTGGTAGATGCTGAAAAAAGGGGGAGGGAGGATGATTGATGATGCAACTAAACATGTGGAAGAATAAATGCATGTGTAAGTTCCTTTGGGCAATGACTGGATTGGATGGAATCATCGTGGGTGTCGTAGAACTGCATTGAGAGGGTTTCGATCTTTATTTTGACACCGACAGGGTTCTCTTATCTCCGTCACTGTCGAACAAGGGCAAGGTTCAGCTGTTGGTTGGTGATTTCGAGTTCATTCTCCATTATGCTATGGAGTGGTTGATCCATTTTTTCTTACTTCAGTTACTGCCTGGTTTTGCCGCATAGTAACCCTCTTTTTTTGCGCGCGAAACCGACATTTTTGCACGGTTTAAATAAAGAATAATTTTTTTACGCTGTCGTGAATCCATGTACAGTATAGAGTCGAATCTCTTTGAAATTAATTTCCAGGGACCAAAAAAAATTCGAGTGGATGAAGAAAGCATTGGGGGGGGGGGGAAGCTAGAAAATTTGCAGGAAATTGTAATTGGTGATAGTCTGGGCCTTGAATTACTTTTTAAATGAGTTGATAGGATGCTGAGGCAAGGATTTATTTGTAAAATTCGTCTTTCAATTCCTCTTCAAACACATCCTTTTCATTTTTATTGCTTTTTTATTTCCTGTGTCAGTAAAATAATATCCAAAAGGACCCCAGAAAATTCGAATTTTGGAGGTTTGAAAAAGAAAGCCTTTGAGTTCGAAAAAAATGTAATGCATTGTTTTTGAAGGAATTCAGAAAGAGACTTGACAATATTTTGACATATATTTAAAGATACTGTACAATATACCTTCAAGAGGAGGTTCATGTTATGAAGGTTCAATTGTACTTCCTTTTTTGACAGTTCATTGTCGAAATAATTTTTAATTTGGCTCAACATGTGAAAATATATACAGTAAAGTGTGTGAGCGTGTGAAAATTATCGTATCAGTCATTTTTCCAGATTATTTACGTGTTTGTGGCTATTTTTTCATGATTGCTTTAATGTTCAATCGCTTTGGAATTGAATGTCTTTTTATTGTGAATGTTGTAAATCTCAATTTTTTCCCCACTACTGAAAAATATAATTTTCTCAGCCCAATTCTTGTTCCGAAACGAACATATTATGATAAATCATACGCTTTCTTCCCTGATGTGGTGGGAATTTTCTTCGTTAACCCATTTAACAAATTTTTTTTGTAAAATTAAAAAATAAATACCTTCTTTGATCACCAAGGGCTGCTTCGGAGCACTGTACTAGGGAAAAAAATGAAACCATGAAGGCAACACGGAAACCCATTAAGTAACACAGTACTGTACATTATTTCTTGCATGCCTTCGATGCATGATGAATTCTTCCGAATCTCTGTCGCAAATAGAATTAAGTGATGCGTGTGACAACAGTGTCAAGCTTTTTTTTTGCATTATAGTGCAGTGACACGTTTTGCGGGCGTTGATGTTATTGTATATAGGTCGAATTTCCAGTTTCCTGTAATTTTGTACCGAGTCATCTCGAGTTTTATCTGCCTCGTGGGTTCCTCGTGTGTGAGCGGGTGAATATTGCAGCAGTGAAAGAGAAGCTGTGGTCGGATTCTGAATGGAATTTAGCATTAAAAAAAAAAAAATCCAAGACGCATAAAATTCCGATTCAAGTCTCTGGAAAATATTTTAAAAATGTCCGCGAATTCCGCGTGAATTTTCCGTGACAGAGGAAAATATTCGAATGGAACTGAATACTGTAAATTAAATGTTTGACTTTTTTTTTACATATAATTCTGATTCAAGTCTCTGGAAAATATTTTTGAAATTTCCGTGTTTTACGCGTGCATTTTTCGTGAAAGAGACAAATATTCGAATGGAAATGAATACTGGGTATTGAATATTTTACATTTTTGCTTTGGTTGATTTTCTTGCGCGGGTCGACGGGTTTCACAACAGACCCAGTCTGGTTTTTAATGTAAATTTTCGAGAAAAATGTTTAATATACTTATTTTTAAAAATAATTTTCTTTGTCTCAAAATCCAGAGCACGTTTGCCTGCGAAGTCAAGCCGCCTTATTTGCAAATTCAATGTATTCCTATAGAAATTAATCAATTAATTCTTATTCCTCCAAATTTCACCCGTTCTGCTCAAAATACTGTCTCTAAATTTGTTCGAAAGATCGCTTATTTAAATTTGCGTTAGCCAAAAAGCATCACGTCGTATCTGCTAATCTGATTCCATAAGAAATAAAATGAATATTTTTCAATTTCAGGTTATGTGTTTCAAGAAAAAAAATCTGAAACTCTGTCAACAAATAAACAGGTGGACTCTCTCTTTCTCTCTCTCTCTCTCTACAAAGATTTTATCTGTGTAACGATTTTTTTGTGTGGACTCATGGAGTTTTCTCTCCCCATGTTCCAGGGGTTCTCTACAGCGAAATTCTCTCTACAATGATTTGTTTTTTTCTGGTCGCTTGAATTTCGTTGTAGAGAGAGTCCTTCTATGTATCGGATTTATAACAGCTATTTCTGTTGCGATGATCGGGAATCTTGTGATTAAAACCTCTGATTTGTTCCTGGGAAATGAAATGAATATTTTTTTTATTTCAGGCAATGTGTTTTAAGAAAAAAAATCCGAAACTATGTCAACAAATATACACGTAGACTCTTTCTCTACAACGATTTTCTCTGTATAACGAATTTTTTGTGTGGACTCATGGAGTTTTCTCTCCCCATGTTCCAGGGGTTCTCTACAGCGAAATTCTCTCTACAATGATTTGTTTTTTTTCTGGTCGCTTGAATTTCGTTGTAAAAAGAGTCCCTCTATGACTGTATGTATCGGATTTATAGCGGCTATTTCTTTTGCGATAATTTGAAAATCTTCTGATCAAATCCTCGTGCTTTGTTCCAGGGAATGTCTTGATTCGCGCAATTGTCTGACTGTACTCATCCGAGTTACTCGTCTCATCGTCGCGAAAAACTCCGAAGTAATAATTTAAAACGTGATAATATTGATTTTAAAAAATAAATAAAAATCGGGAATTGCGATGGAATACGGTGACGAGGCGTGCTTTCCGTCGCGATGGGTGTTCGCAGTGATGGCGTTTTTCAGTGTCGCACTCAATTACGTGCTTCGTGTCGACATCAACCTGGCATTGGTGGCCATGGTGAACCACACCGCGTTGGACCTGATGGACGCGGAAGCCCGAGGCAATGCTTCCGGACTCGGCAATTTCACCACTTCCGGAACAGTGTGTCCACTTCCGTGGTTTCCGAGTGATATCGTTGGCCCTGGTGCTGCTGGGGATCAGCCGGTCAATGCATCCGACGTCCCTCCGATTGACCTTTCGGACGAAAAGGTCAAGATTTTTTGGGTTGTGGGAATACACAAACCACACTTGACCACTTGTTTGTGTATTCGTGTACAGTATTTTTTTTAGGGATGATTTTTTTTTTCGTTATTAATGTGAAATTTTAATATAAAATTTTCAGAAAATCAAGAAGAGAGGTATTTTCTGGATGAGTGCTGAAGACTAAATTCAGGAATTCAATTTTACTCATATCGGCTGAATTCTTTTTTTTTTTGTTGCTGGGCACAATTTTTAAGGTGAAGTTTAATCTCTTACAATATTCTTCACTGATTCGTCGACCTTTCGGGAAATCAAAGACATTAAGAAAATAAATTATTTGTTTTACAGAAATCAATTCCCCTGAAATAAAATCGGGAGGTCAAGGAAATTAACGCAATTTCAGGTTTTAAAATATGTAGGAAATTAACGCAATTTCAGGTTTAAAAATATGTAGGAAATTAACAATTTCATTTCCTTGAAAAAAAACATTTTTATGAACAAAAATTAGGGATTTCGACAGAATTTTTTTCTTGGAAAAATTAGGAAGGAATATTGTACGAGCGTGCAACTTCACCTAAAAAGTACCCTCAGATAAAAAAAAATCAGTCGATATATGACTAAAATAGAATTCAAATACTGGATTAGTCTAAACTAAATTCGCATAACATGGACTTCATTTATGAAATACAGTACCGCTTTTCTTGAAAAAAAAAACAATTGAGGTTTTTAAGCAACGAAATTAATTTCAACTTGAAATACTACAGTATTGGTTTTTTAATTGTGTGCAATAAAATTTGAAAAAACCCCATTTTTTCATAACTATCAATTTTCGAGATATGCTCTGAAAGTACAGCTTTTGAGTTCCATTTAATTTTAGGGATAATTCGTGTTTAAGAATACAAATGGATTCGAGTTCAGTTCCATGCATGAACGATTGCTTCTCTTTAAAATCGTGGGCCTTAAAATTTGAAAGGCATTTAATTTAAAGCTTCTCTATTTTCGAGATATTCTCTGAAACATCATTAAAATAAAATACCTGGATTTAATATAATTTCCCGAAAAATTCTTGCGTTTTCATCATTTATCGTTTGTGGAAACATACCGTAGTAGTTTTTGAATCGAGACCGAACTGTTTTTTTTTTTTTTAGATATACATTCAAATAATTTATTTAAAAGACTTTTGAGATACTTGTTGGTGAAAAAAATAACTGAGACGTGCTTTTCATGTCTTGAAGAGAATCTTGGGTTTTTTTTTTACGAAGCGAGGTGAAATATTCGTGGTCAAATAAATTTGAATAATGGCGGTTGTGTTGCAGAATAACATTTTGGCAGCCAGAGAAATACGGTATTCCTTGTTTTTAATTTTTAAAAAAGTATTTAAAATGCAGTGAGTATAATCGCATTAAATCTATATATTTTTTGTCTTCCCTGTCGTCTTGTCTTTCCTTTTTATATAGTTGGATGGTCCCTTTGTGTGGCGTCAAAGCACTCAAACGGTGATTATGAGCAGTTTCTTCATTGGATACATTTGGACGCAGCTTTTTGGCGGGAGAATCGCCGAACATTTCGGCGGAAAAGAAGTGATAGCATGTGGCATGATCTCTGCAGCAATTTTGCACTTTCTCATCCCTTTCGCAGCTGGGACCAGCATCAATTTGCTGATTGCTCAAAGAATCCTCTCGGGCCTCAGTTTGGTACGTTCGCCATATCTTATGTTGTTGGAACAACAATTTTCAAACATTATTAGCTTGTGTGTATGTGTTTTTTTTTTACTATTTGTGTTTTACGATTATGTTTATGTGCGCTTTTTTTGCAGGGCTTCATTGTGCCAACTGCAAACGTCATGATATCAAAATGGTGTCCACCGGCGGAAAGAAGCATGATGAACGCCGTAGTACATTCTGGTGAGTATAAAACTCATTAATTAGTTAATTAAGTTCAGTGCTTTTATAGTACTGTACCTTGTCGAGTAATTTACTTACGATTGTTTTTGATCTTCGGAATACAGTAAAATCGAATTTCAATATCTCGAAAAGTCAGTGTGCTGTGGGAAATTTTTAATTCCTGCGGTACATTAAATTTTTTTATCCCGGGTTTTTCCAGTTGCCATAACAAATTTTCATTCTTGACGACTGCTTAATTAACCTGCATTACAGTATGTATACTGCATAATACATATGGATGCCATTTCTGCATACAGTATAATCTGGTTACAACAAATGATCACCTCCCAACGAAGTCAGTCAAACCCTGATTCAATGCCATGGCACATTTATATTAGTATACAGTATTACTGTATATTATAGGGATTATATTTTTAATTCATTGGTGGGGATATTGTATTAAATGAAAAATTTTTGAGAGCTCATATTTTTGGTAAAATAGGCTTGTTTGCAGAATTTTTTGGCCGTTGAGTCTGTTCATAGGAGAGGAAGCCACAGAGAATAATTTGAGGCTCAATTGAACTGTTTTAATTGCATTTAAATTAATGTAATAGTACTCCATTTTTGCATGTATTGAGTCAAGTAAAAGAATAGAACTGTTTTTTTTTGCAGTTTTGTATCAACCTATAAAAATGAGAAATTCACCAAATTGTCAAAGGTGCCCAAGTGGTGTCATTTCTGCAGGTCAAATATATTGGTTGATGCATCACCAGAGCACCTTCTTTTCTTATGCCCAGCATTCCCCAGCCACAGGAATGAGCTTCAAAGATAATTGAGGCTCTTAAAATTCAATGAAAAGACTCTTCCCAAAATCTTAGAGGACCAAGATAATCTCTGTTAACCTTATATGATTGCTCATCAAAGATTCCCTCCAAATTGTTTAATCTACTAAACCTATCATCTGGGAGCAGGCGGAATGCAATGTGCTTTAATTTTGGTTTAGTAACTGCTTTATGCTAACATGTATTTATGCTGAAATTATTATTACTGATATTTTGTTTTTGTCATCAGAGAAGGGGGCACAATTGTACTTTTTGAGATGTATTTTCTCTTCCTTAAATAACCATATGCAGCTTATTTTTCTGTTTCTCATTCTGATATGTTGAAATGTGTTAGGATGAATAAGGGGGAAGGGAGGGGGTTTAGATGTGGGAACCTTGCTTGAACCTTGTGATTGTTGAAAAGCAGAAAATTAGGCTTGCTGTTCTATTCAATTCAGTATCAATCTTTCAATGAAAGCGCACAATTCCAAGATCAGGTGAAGTGACTTGACATTTTTCTCAAGAGACTATATCCCAGTTATTGAGATGTTCTTTGATGCATTGTGGAAGACAAAGAAAGAAAACCCCCCAATTACATTTAAATGCAGAAATCAACATTTCAAAATTATCTTGAGCACAGGCATATGATTCTCAGTATAAACCTAAGGATATTTCTAAGTGAGACCCCCACATGCAGACACCTTGACCTGCGGACAATTTGACATGGGGACACTTATTTTATCATAAAAAATTAATAAAAAAGGCCCGACATGAGGACACTGACTCAACATAGGGACATTTTGTTATTAAATTGAAAAAGAGATTCAGGCCAAATTACAAGAAACAGATATTTCCAACCCTAAAATGTATGTAAGAAAAGTTCTTGGGCATTTCTATCACCAATTTACCATCCATTTAGTTAATTTTTAAAAAGTACCTTCAGCGGAGAGGGACTTCCTTCTCTTTTTTTCACTTGAATATTATTTTTACAGAGAATGCAAACATTTATATGTACTGTACAGAGGTATCAGTATTCAAATGCTCATATTGTGTTGAAATATATTGAATGGAATCAGTTTAAATTAGGTAAAAAAATTTATTTTCATGGAATTATGATGAGTATTTTGTACATAAAACACCAATTAAAAATTATATAATGTAAGTCTAAGGGATAATGAGACTCTACTTGGGGACATTTTGACTTAGGGACACTCTTGATGCACCAATTACGTCCGCATCTTGGGGTCTCACTGCCTAAATTTATCTGATTTTTTCCTATTTCTCATTCAGGGGAAGTGCATTTTTTTGACAATAAGTGTGTTGGTGCTGAATCAAGGTTACCTTGAGAACACAATGGAGGGAGACTTTTTCCGAGGAAATTTTTGCCACTATGCAGGGGTGGCACTAAATCCAAGCTTGACTTGTGATTATTGAGATCCTTGCCCAATAGCCACAATGTTTAATGAGTTCCCTGTATATATTCGGAGAACATTTTTCAGACCCCGCGTACGCGAATATTGTAAATTTTTGGGAGTGAAGCGGAATTTAATTGACACCTCGGAATTATCTCTATTGTTGTCATCCACAGGTGCTCATTTCGGCACAGTGATCGCAATGCCGCTGACTGGGATCTTGTTGGGTGCCCTGGGCTGGGAAGCTGTTTTTTACCTGATAGGTTCCTTGGGTGTCCTTTTGTTTATCGCCTGGAAGTTTCTGGTGCACGAGTCACCCGCGTTGCACCCGAGCATAAGCAGAGCCGAGTTGAAAAACATCCGGGATGCTATTGGAAACGAACGACACGGAGAGGTTCCTTTTAATAAATAAATCTTTGTTTTTGAAGAACACTTGTGAATTCGTTTTGTTTTCTTTCTTTCAGAAAATGCCTGTGCCTTGGAAGGAGATGCTGAGATCAGCACCATTTTGGGCCATTGTCATCGCTGTGTTTGGGAATTCGTGGGGATTTTCAATCGTAATTTCTTTGTTGCCGACGTATTTGAATAACATGCAGCATTTCAGCGTCAGTGAGGTAAGATTATGATAAAGATTTGCACTATTTTCATTAGGATGCAAAATTTTAGATTTTTGCATCCTATATGTTTAGGATTTCCGTCATATATCGTATTTTGGTCAATTTATCGATTCAGTTGAAGAATCTTGATATGTTTCGTGTCTTCGCGAATTCGCAGTTATCAGAATAAAAACTCGCGTATATACAAGGGTTCTAACAAAAGTTCCCGGAATAAATATGAAAATGGCGTATAATTGAGCTAGAAAAAAATTATTCTTTAGGGAAAACATATTCTTTGACACACTCAAAAAAATCAGCCATGTTTGACATTTTTTTTTATGTTTTGCAAAATTCACCCTGGCAGAGTTTTGCTCTCCACTCAACAGATGAGGCGCCCTTCCTGCAGATTTTTGTTGTTGTAGCCCAGCTTTCTTTTTAGAATTCTTGAAATCAACGAGGCATTAATTCCAAGGGTTGCCTCCAGGTCTTCCAAGGTAATTCCGCCATTTTCATCAACAGCCGCCAATGTGGCGGCTGTTGATGAAAATGTCCAAGAGGGCTGATTTTTTGTGTGCCAAAGAATATGTTTTCCCTATAAAGAATAATTTTTTTTCAGCTCGAAAATTCGCCATTTTCATTTCTATTCCGAGAACTTTTGTTAGAATTCTCGTAACTTGAGAGGATTTGAAATGCAATTTTCAACTTACTCAAGCAGTAAAAAAAATTAGTTGTTCATGCAAGTACTTAATTGAGTCGAACTTGAAATTTAGAAAAATAAAATTCATCGAGGTGGATATGTTCCGTATATGGTTATGCAGTTCAGTCAGTTTTGCAAATTTCGTTGCAGAATGGGTTCATTTCCGCACTTCCGTATTTGTGCCAATTCGCAACCAGCATTCCAATCAGCGTCGGAGTCGACTACCTAAGACGTCATCGTTTCGCATCTGTCACCACGTTGAGGAAAGTCTGTCATACCATCGGTACGTCATTTGAATATTTTGCCAACTGACGATTTTTCTTTTCGTCAATTCACTCAATTTGATTTACCACTTTAAATTTTATATATACAGGCCAATTCGGAGCAGGTTCGATGCTGCTATTGCTAACAGTCAATGGATGCAACAGTGACGGAGTCATAATAATATTGGCTATGTACGGTGCCATTCAAGGATTCAACCTCTCGGGTTATTCCGCGAATATGTTGGACATAGCTCCTAATTTTGCAGGTGAAAGGATCAACTTCTCAAAAAATGCATTCGCAGTACAACTGATTTGTTTTTTATTTTACGTTGAAAATGTTTGTTTATATCGTCTTATAGGTACAATCACTGGAATCGTACACATTGGATACAATATTGTTTCCATCGTTGGACCAATTACTGCGGGAAATCTTCTTTCGGGACAGGTGAATTTTTATTCACTTATGCTTATTTCTTGAATTTTGAACAAACTTTCAGATCATGTGCTGTGTTGCCTTTATTGGTAGGAAAATGGGTCGCATTAAACTTATTTTTTGCTCAGCAGATTTGACAGCTACCAATTCTGTTGTTCCGAATAGCAGACCCAGCTTTAGAGAATTTGAAATACACGTTCATCCTTGAAAAACATTTTAAATGGCTTTTGGGTATTTTGTGGGCATAATTTTGTACAGGTATTACTTATTGATAGTTGAGCCCTGTTAAGATGCCCCCTGAAGAGCCACCACCCTCAGAAATTGCCAATTTATTTTATGGAAAAGAAATATTTCTTGACTATGAAAACATTGGAAACCCTGTTAAAACGCCATCTGCCAACATTATTGAGGACTCAAATATGCTTCCGTCATATTATTTTTTCTTTGATGGCCTGCAAAAAAAGATTAAAGTTTCCCAGAGAGGTTTCCAATTAACAAAATAAACACAAACGCAAAGTGGACAAAATTTACTTTTCGGGAACATTAGATAGAAATAATTTACGCATCCCTGGGTTTTTCTTCGATTCTTTTCTACGAAAATGAGAATTCTATTCCCTATTATTCTCAATTTTTCATAGATATTTTAATAAACCACCAGCCCCCTTAAACCTCACAAGCAATGGTGGCAACTTATCAAGGTTTTACTGTTTTCTATGTTTTCTTTTGCGGGACTGCGTAACTTTACAAGTAACTTTATGCCATGGAAAATTAGGAAAACGCAATAAGCTGCAGGAAGAAGCCTACAATATCTTCTGAAGGCCATTAAAAAGTCCAGTAATATGAATCTGTTAATTTCTCTTCCTGGAAAAACTGCTCTAAAACTTCCAAAAGTTATTGACACGAAGTCCTTGAAAATTTGAGTAAAAAAGGGTTTCGCCCCAAAAGTTACCAGTTTGTGAGGTTGGAATTGCATAAAATTTGAGAAAATTGGTGCGGGATTGACAGGAAATCTGCCTTATGGAGGTTTTTGAGTTTTGGAAGTTCAAGTGGATCATGCAATGGTGGATGGCTCTCCCTATAACAACCAAATTCAAGGGATCAGAAAAGAATCATTCTAGAGAGAATTTTATTTTTTTAAACCCTTATAACATGGGGAAAACTTTGAATAAGGACCAAACAAATTTGTTACACAGGTGGAAACTCTCTATAATAATTTTCTCTGCATGAAAAATTTTCCATTGTCCAGTAGGGCCCCCCCCCCCTTTCATTTTATAGGGGTTCTCTACAGTGAAATTCTGTCTGCAACAAATTTTTCATTGTCCAATATTTTTTTCCCGTTTTTCCATTATACAGATGGACTCTCCCAAAAAAATTTTGTTTATGACAATTTTCTCTGTATAACAAATTTTTCTTTGGTTCTATAAGGTTCTCTCCCTATGTTATATACATGTTCTCTATAGCGTATTATTCTCTCTACAATGGTTTTTTCTGGTCCCTTTTTTTTGGGGGGAGAGAGAGTCCACCAGTATTGCACCAAATTTCTCTCAAGTAACATGTCTTTCAAATCAATCAAACAAAACCGCCATTTTTCTGGTATTTTTCATAGCAAACACTGGAACAATGGGCCGTCATCTTCCGCATCTCAGCTGGCTGCTTTTTCGTCGCTGCATTTCTCTATGCGCTCTTAGCCAGCGGAGAAGAACAACCCTGGAATCGCCCTCGTAGTGCGACATCTAGCGAATCTTCCTGGCTGGTGTATTCAACTGATAAAAATGACTACACCGGAGAAATATTGCAGAAACCCGTCGGAGGAAGTTCGCTGACATCTGCCCCTATTTCCATGAGACAACCTGAACCACGGGAAGATGCTCCAGCAGTTGCAGCAATGTCGCACGAACTCTTGTTCGAAGCCATCAGACAACAAAGTTATTACACGACATTGTGAATAATAAGGAAAGGAATTCAGCATTTTGACAAACCGGTGAACAAAAATTGTGGTTGTGAATGCTATGTCATATTGAGGCATCTTTTGAGAAAAAGATGCGAGTGATTTTTGGACATTCAGTGACTTCGTAATCATATCCTACTCTTGCAGATAAATCAAGAGAAGAAAATATGGATTCAAGTTTTTTTGTACTGTCTTCATGCTGGAAAAAATTACAAGAAATCTTGAACATTGAAGATGAGAAGAATATGATCTCTTAACTCGAAGTAAATATTATATTTCTACTAAATTTTTGACACCGGTTTCCCATCGGTCATATGTTTGATCTGAATAAATAATTACTGTACAATACTTATTTGGACGCGAAGTTACTCGCGTTTGAATTAATTCAAGAGACTAAAGAACTGGACAGCTGTCTGTCTGCTCGCTGTTCAATACTGTATGGAGAATCTCATAAAGTAGTGACGAGATTTCTATGTGTTCTCAACTTCTCCTGTTTATTCCTAAATTAACAAGAAGACCAAAAGGAATGTGATTCACGAATGATTCCTTCGAAAGATCTTAGAATTTGGTCCGAAGTCTTACAAACACTTCAACGTCTGAATAATACTGTACAGTACAGCTTATTTTTACAAAGGTTATTATATACAGTACTGTATAAGCAGTGATGCGTGTTAATGTGGAAGGTTACACCCATTTGACTGCTGATATGGCACCAAAAGCTTTTTCAAAGATGTGTGAGTGCATTGTTTTCCAAGACAAGGCAAAAAGAAACAGATGTCAGCGACAGAAATAAATTCGTTTTGCGCAAAATTCATGAGTATACAATGATTGGAGATTGAAATTAGCAGTTGCAG